TGGAACATGGACACAGCGTAAAACTTCATAGTTAGAAAAACTGAATGGCTGCGTCTCAAATGTGCCCCTTCAACATCCACATATACCTGGCAAAGGTACATACGGGGGTATTGCTGTACTCAGCCGACATAGCTGAGCAACATATGAAGTATTATACAGTGGTAGCACACATAAGGTTTGCAAAATATACTGTGCAAACTCACTTTGTGTGTCAAAATGGCAGAAAAAACGCTACACCTGGTACAAGCTAGCGGAAAAATGATCCCACGCTAAGGTTCAAAATTTACCTTTTGAAATACCCTTGGGTGTCTACTTTAAGAAATGGTAGGCCTTTGTGGGGTAGTTTGAATTTTAAACCTGCGAAGATGCTTGGAAATTGCACAGCGTCAAAATTCAAAGTTCGGTAAAAACGGATATGGCTTGGTCTCCTATATGGAACTGTATGAAAGCAAAGGCTCATTAAATCCGTCTCTCAAAATTCTACTGTGAATACTGAAAAGGACAGGTCTCCTATATGGCACTGTAGCTTCACGAAATAGTTCCAAAGACATACAATGGGCAGGGCCGGATTAACATAGGGGCTGATGGAGCTGCAGCTCCAGGCCCAGACCCATGGAATAGGCCCATTTTAAAAAAATTTTTTTTACACAATACTCTTAGGTTTGCCACCTGGCTGGTATTTTACTGGCACAGCCGGTATTTGAGTCTGCCTGGCCGTGCCGGTATTGCAGTAATACCGGCAATACAAATGCAGATAATTTTCTCAGAATAAATGGAAATTACTCTGCAATACCAGCACCGGCCAGTAGGGGTCAGTGTGTGTGTGGAGAGAGGCAGGGATAGGAAGTTCCAGAATATCCCTGCCTCTCTCTACTACTCACTGATCCATGGGGGAGCAGCAACACAGCACAGAGTCCAGACAGCAGCTCAGGTAAGTAAGGGATGGGGGGAAAGGGGACACTGAGGCACTGAGGACATGGGGACACTGAGACACTAGGGGACATATGGGGACACTGAGACACTAGGGGACACAGACACTAGGGGACAATGAGACAACATAGGGACACTGGAAAACATAGGGACACTAGGGGACACTGAGACACTAGGGGATATATTGGGACACTGAGACTCTAGGGGACACTGGGACACTAGGACACATGGGGACACAGACACTGGGAGACCTGGGGACACAGACACTTGGGGACACTGGAAAACTTGGGGACACTGAGACACTTGGGGACACTGGAAAACATGGGGACACTGAGAAACTTGGGGACACTGAGACACATGGGGATACTGTGAGACATAGGGACATTGGGAGACATTGGGACACTGAGACACTATGTTCCCATGTCCCCCAGCCAGTGTCCCTAGTGTCTCAGTGTCCCCAAGTCTCCCAGTGTCTGTGTCCCATATCTCTCAGTGTGCCTAGTGTCCCCATGTGTCCCAGTGTCCCTATATGTCCCAGTGTCCCCATGTCTATGTCCACAACTGTCCCCATGTGTCCCCAAATGTCTGTCTCCCAGCCAGTGTCCCATAGTCTCCCAGTATCCCCTAGTCTCTCAGTGTCTGTGTCCCTAGTGTCTTAGTCTCCCCAAATGTTTCAGTGTCCCCATGTCTCCCAGTGTCTGTGTTCCTAGTGTCTCAGCGTGCCTGGTGTCCCCATGTCTCCCAGTGTCCCTATATGTCCCAGTGTCCCCATGTCTATGTCCACAACTGTCCCCATGTCTCCCAGTGTCCCCTAGTCTCCCAGTGTCCCCAAGTGTCTGTCTCCCAGTGTCCCCTAGTCTCCCAGTGTCTGTGTTCCCATGTCTCTGTGTCCCTAGAGTCTTAGTGTCCCCATTTCTCCCAGTTTCCCTAAATGTCTCAGTGTCCCCATGTCTCTGTGTCCCCGGGTCTCTCAGTGTCCCCAGTATCCTTGTGACATGGGGACACACTGGGACATTGGGAGAAATGGGGACACAGACACTGGGAGACTAGGGGACTGGGTGACATGGGGACACTGTGATACATAGGGACACTGAGACACTAGGTGACTTGTGAGACTGAGACACTGGGAGCAATCCATCTATACAGCAGAATCAAACTGTGAATAGTTTGTTGGTGATTTTACAGAATTTTCTCTGCTGTCACTCCTTGTGATTTACATCATGTGATGTCACGCATAACTAATTAATTATACAAATGATTAAGGCTGGTATTTTTTTCCAAGAAAGGTGGCAACCTTAACTACTCTTCACATATTCTTGCCTAAAGGAGCACTATAGGGTCAGTAACACAATCATGTATTTCTGACCATATTATGTTAAAACCACCACCCTGGCCCCTTCTTGCCTCCCTATAGTAAAATATTACTTGTATTCAAGTCTGCAGCTGCTGGCTCAGAAGTGGTAGTCTGAGCAAATTACAATACTTCCCCATAGGATTGGCTGAGACTGTCAACTAGGCAGAGCCAGTACAAGTCCAACATAGCCCTGGCCAATCAGCATCTCCTCATAAAGATAAATTGAATCAATGCATCTCTATGAGGAAAGTTCAGTGTCTGCTTGCAGAGGGTGGAGACACTGAATGGCAGTGCTGCAGACTAGGCAGTACTGCCCCAGGAAGCACCTCTAGCAGCCATCTAAGGAGTGGCCAGTGGAGTTATTTTCTCTGACAAGACAGTGTTTACCGCAAAAAGCCTGAATGGAATTATTCTACTTACTAGAACAAATACAATAAGCTGTAGTTGTTCTGGTGACTATAGTGTCCCTTTAGGTTTGGAAGCTTAAGAGGGATGTATGGGAACAAAACTTGTGTGGACTGGCTGACATTAAAGTTAGTTTAGGTAATGCAGACGTTGGTCTCTGTGGCATGTCCCCTTTCTTCTACACTCACTACATACACCTTTTCTCTGTCTCTGACTACAAACCAGGAACTTCTGCCTGCTAGTAAGAAGGTAAGGAGACAAGTGGACCAGCGAGTGCTAGGGGAAAGTCCTTAGAAAGCATGGAGTGAGCGCATTATTAGACGCATTTATGTCAAGCTCAAGGTGCTGCCTGCATAGTATGCCCTTAGTTGGACAGCCTGCAGGATTGGCAGGCAGCCTGACATTTATTCATGCCAGGCTGACCTTCCAATTCTTTGGACAAACATGCCCCCTTTTTGGCAGGTCTTGTCACGTGATTCGTGCCAGTGGCACACCCTTTTACCCCGCCCATTGACTTCCTGCTTCACTGGACACTGCTGTTAGGGGGTATGGATTTACTTGAAAGATGAAAGCATACATTAGAGAGATTAGCATAGAGTATGTGTTTTCTTATAGCTGCATTCTATGAGTTTCCCTCCAGCACCATCTCCATCAGATATATGACGCTTGGGAGGTATGACTGTTTTAGTGTTTTTGGTCGATAAGATTCCGTAATTAGGCCCATCATAATGGTCAGCACCAGGCCCACTGTGCTCTTAATCCGGCCCTGACAATGGGGGTGTCCTTTTACTCAGAAGACTTAGCTGAGCATAATTTGGGGGGTTAGAACTTAGTGGCACATATGAAATATACAAAATGCCCAGCAAAAATGCAATCCGTATGTAAAAAATGCACAAAATAATTTTACACATACTTTGGCATATATTGGAGAAAAAATGGGGGCATGTTAAGGCACAATATGCACCTTATGAAATACCCTGAAGTGTCTACTTTTACAAATGGTAGGCCTTTGTGGGGTTTTTTCTGAACAGTCAAACTACTATAATACCCCAAATGGAAGCATGGGCTCATTAAATCCATCTCTCAAAATTCTACTGTGAATACTGAAAAGGACAGGTATCCTATATGGCACTGTAACTTCACAAAATAGTGCCAAAGACATACAATGGGGGTATCATTTTACTCAGCAGATGTAACTGAACACAAAATAAAACTTTGTACAGGAATAGCACACACCAACTTACAAAATACACATGAGAATGTCTTTGTTATAAGTTTGCCAAAAACAAAAACAAAACATAATTTTACTCCAATATTTAGCAGAGGTTGGCGGTGGAATGGCTACATAGAAAGCGTCAAAACAACCTTAGGTAAATAGCCAGTGATGTCTACTTTATATAAATATATACTTTTGTATGGCAATTTTGTTTTCTTTTATGGCTATTAAGCTTACAAGACAAACATACCAAATTCTAAAATCACTCCACATTAAAGGTTTATTTTACTCCTTGTGCTTTGTGACCTGTAACTACCAAAAAAAACTTAAAATCCCAGACACATTTTATATTGTGTAAATGAAAACAACTAAATTAATTTATTTTTAATTACTTTCCTTAACCTGCACTAATTGCAAAAACTGCAATTTATTATTGCAAAAACTGTAAAAAAACTAATTTTTTAAAATTTTGTTTGCATTTTTCTGTATTATTTTATAATAAATAAGTATATATATATATATATATAAAAAACAAAAATAGTAATGCACTCCACCTTCCTTGATGTACTTGCCCGGTGCTTATCAGCAAACAGATACAGCCAAAAGTACAAGATAGCACTCCAGGGACTTCCAAGTTGAATGAATAAAACTTAGCTTTTATTAGCTCAAAAATAAAAATCAACGTTTCAGTCTGTATCACAGACTTTCAGGAACACCTCACAAGTACTCTCCACAAATAGGCCTTACAGAAACATGCAGGGGGAACACTCAACCGTACAGTTAGCAATCCCGCACGCATTTCACCACTACCCTACCTTTATGAAAATACTTAGCCATAATGTTAGGGGCCTGAACACCCCTGTTAAAAACCACCTCCTATAACGTGACCTTCAAAAGTCCTCACCGGAGGTTGTATGCCTCCAAGAGACACCACATCGCCCAACCTCAAACCACTCACTTACCCGCACCAATATCACGCAACCGCAAAAACCAAAACTAAATGGGTTTCCATATTGATTAGCAACCAAGTAGCATTCACAGAACATGACCTCATCATAGACGAAGAGGGCTGCTACATCATACTAATATGCACCATCAATGACATCACCTACACAATAGCAAACATATACGCACAAAACTCAGAACAACGCAACTTCCTACACAAGACCCTAGCTAAACTGTCGCCAGTCCGGAGGGGAATGCTGATACTTTGCAGAGATTTCAACCACATTCTCGACCGTAGTTTAGATTCATCAAAAGGACCAACGGGGCAAGGCCTACTACACACCAGGAGAACTTGCAAAACATACCAGAAACTGCTAGATGAACACAACCTTTATGATGCGTGGAGGGTCCTCCACCCTGCAGAGAAAGATTATACATACTTCTCCTCAGTTCACAACTCTTACACCTGACTTGATAGGTTTCTCATTGAGGGAAAACACTTAACACAGGTCCTCACCTGTTTCATAGTGACAATTACGTGGTCAGACCATGCACCCATCACAATCGAGCTATTAGATAACTTTGAAAGCCACAACAGAAGCCCTTGACACTACTGCATGACCAAACTTTTGTTAAGCACCTAGAGGACTCACTCACACACTACTTTAAGGAAAATACAACGCCAGGTATATCCCCAGAGAACACCTGGTTAGCACACAAACCGGTTATCCGAGGAGAATTAATAAAAAGGGCCCACTTCCTCAAACAGACATCCCATGCCCAAAATATTACTTGGCATAAGCAACTGCATGACCTTAATAAATTGAACCAAACACACCCAACTACAGAGTTGAAACACCATATTTCAGAGACGCAGAATAGGATCCGGACCTGCAAAGGTGGGATACGCGCTAAGAACACTGAAAGCTACACAGTACTCCCAGGGAAATAGGGCAAGCAAAATCCTAGCCCAAAGATTCAGGGACAGACAGGCCACATCTAAAACAGCATACATACAATCACCGGCTAATTGCGCCGTAGGCTATCAGTGACGAATTTGCAACATACTATGAATCCCTGTACAATCTGAGAAGCAACCCGCTCACATCCACCACATCACCCGCGACCATTGATGAATACCTACAAGACACCCCCCTACCTCCCCTCACACCAGCACACAGAGTCCCTTGCTGCCCCTATCATCCAACAAGAGGTAAAAAGCATGATGAAAGCTCTCTCAGCGGGGAAAGCCCCAGGCCCGGACGGATTTGTCAACGCATACTATAAATTATACGACGATATCCTATCCCCAGCTCTAACAACCCTGTTTAATAATGCCATAGACAAACACTCATTACCCACGGGACTCCTACAGGCTCATATTACTACCCTCCCCAAACCGGGTAAAACCCCTACAACGTGTCCAAACTTTCGCCCTATTTCCCTGCTCAATACGGATGCCAAGCTATTTGCGAAGATCCAAACCAACAGACTTTAGACCATCCTCCCAGAACTTATCCATGATGACCAGGTAGGGTTCGTGGGGGGTAGGCAAGGCTCAGATAACACCCACAAAGTTCTGGATCTCATGCACAGCACTCGGAAACTGGGGATACAGTACACCTTCAGCACAAGTCTTTTACGCAGGATTCCCATCACGCATGATAAACATCACCAATGGCTCCAGACAGGGATGCCCTCTGTCCCCGTTGCTCTACGTCCTGGCCCAAGAGCCACTGGCTTCCAAAATTAGAGCAGACCCAAACATTCATGGCATTTCCCTGGAAGCCAAATACTATAAACTAAACATATTTGCAGACGACATACTACTCACCCTTACACAACCGTTCATATCTATGCCCAACCTTAAGCGACAGATCAAACTTTTTGGCCTCCACTCATACTACAAACTGAATGTCTTCAAGACACAAGCAATGACAGTGGGGATAAGGGGGGAGGAGAGAGACAGGCTAAAGGAGGCATTCCCTCTTGACTGGCGGTCAGACTACATAACATACTTAGGAATCAAACTCACAAAGAAACCCTCAGGACTATTCCAAGCGAATTACGCAAAGATTCTAAAAGAATTTGAAACCACACTCAAAACATGGAAAGGGAAATTCCTTTCATGGCTAGGACGAATAACCGCCATCAAAATGTCACTACTACCAAAACTGCTATATTTTTTCAGAACACTGCAGATACCCCTACCACCCACCTACCTACGATCGGTCACATCCCTACTCCTAAAATTTATCTGGCAACACAAAAAATGTAGGGTAGCCACCAAACTCCTATACAGACCAGTAATAGACAGGGGGCTGGGCATCCAAAACCTACATGCCTATCACAAAGCAGCCCTGTTGAGCACTATGCTAGTCTCGCATGATACCCACTCCAACCCACAATGGACAGGGATTAAGGCCTTCTGGCTCAAAGCCGACCAACTACATCACATTTTCTGGACTGACAATACCCGTAGACACAAACCCTATGATGGATTACCCACTACTTGGTTGCTCATTAATACATGGGACGGGGTGAGAAAGGGACTGGCTATCCACCCCAAGATCCCAATGGCGACACCATTGCAAACCATTAGCTTGACTATCCCTACATTCAATCATAAACCATGGGTGGAGAAAGGCATTACCCATGTCCTCCACCTGTACCAAGGTGGACACCTCAAAACGTTCTCACATCTCCAAGAGCAATATAATCTACCCACCAGACTCCTATTCCCATACCTCCAGGTAAAATTGCTGATGGCGAACAACTTACCTCGGAAAACTACTGCCAATCACACAAACCCCTGTCAAAATGTTACCGTACACTTATGCAAAGCCAACCACTACCACATGCAACGTAAAAAGAAGCATGGCACAGAGAACTAGGAAGCAAAATTAGCCCCACACAGTGGAAACAAGCATATACAACCCACAAAGGCCTCACACCCTGCGCCCAACACTTAGAAATCCAAAGGAAAATCCTATATCGCTGGTACATAGTACCGGCAAAACTTCACAAAATAAGGCCAAATTCTACAAACCTATGCTGGCGGTGCGAACAGGAAGTGGGAACAATGATTCACATATGGTGGACGTGCTCCACGCTCAAACTCTTCTGGACCCAGACTCTGCAGGTGCTATCAGATGTGCTCGGAGCTCCAATAGACGCTGACCCAATAACGTGCCTGTTATATATATTCCCCCACAAAAATGCCCAAAACACACCCAGCACTAACATACCACACGCTTAAAGCAGCACACCTTATGATAGCAAGACACTGGAAATCCAGGGAACCAACTACCCACACTCACTTGCTACACCAGATTAGGCTCAATTGGACGTATGAAGCTATGCACCAACAACAGTTCGGCCCCAAACTCTTCTTAGCAAAAGCAAAACTCCTACACTAGCAACAGAGAAGAGAATCAGGAAAGTATGCAGGGCTGGCATGCGGGACGTGGACTAAACTGGCAAACTCCTCGCTACTCACAGTGAACCCTCTATGAGAATGGTCTACCCTAAACCATCACCATCCATACTCAGCTTAAACCCCTGTCATGAGAAGTGGAGAAGAAAACGAAAATACCTCTGGATTCCCCTCCCTCTCCACCCTCCATCCTCTTTCCCCCTCTCCCCACCCTGATTGTTATACAAAATTGTTTGGAACGTGCAATATGCAAATGTAAGTGACCCTAGTGCCTAATTTGAGATGCGCCCTGGAGTGACGCATCACTGGCATGAATACTGTATAACTATGTGTATCTCAACATGACGTCTAACATATGTACATACACGATTTGGATGTATACGCATGTCCCAATAAAAATTGTCAAATTTAAAAAAAGAAGAGTGGTTCTAATTCTCAGAAGCAATTACACTACTGTTGATTATGTTTTCTTTTGGAAACATAACCCTTACCAATCTCCTCCCTTAATTTCATTTTTGGATTATTACATGTATGATGATTTTCTTTTTCCAAATACTTGCAGTAAGGCATTGCACTAACTGTAACCACCAGTGTCACATTAGGATGAATGAAGCACATTACCAGTCAAAGTGTGTGTGTTTGCTGACATGACATATCTAAGCAAAAGGAACTTTTTTCTTTTTACTGACCAACGTAGGCCCCCAAAAAACTTAGCAACAACTAAAAAAACCTGTCAGGTTTAAAATGTGTGATTCTAAGGATGAATGACAGCATGCACATACAAATACAATTTTACATTTTACAAGGCTGCTTAAAATTAGTAAATTACCTATCTCAGCAAACAAATCAAGGGATTCAGTTCCAATACTATGTATGTTTGTAGTCGAGACCAGATTCCTTTTGGGTTGAGCACTTTTCTTTACTATGTACTAAAAAACCTGTCAGGTTTAAAATGTGTGATTCTAAGGATGAATGACAGCATGCACATACAAATACAATTTTACATTTTTCAAGGCTGCTTAAAATTAGTAAATTACCTATCTCGGCAAACAAATCAGGGGATTCAGTTCCAATACTATGTATGTTTGTAGTCCAGACAAAATTCCTTTTGGATTGAGCATCTGGCTGTGTCCCCAATTGCCTTTTTTTCTTTACTATGTATATTCAGATTCCAGACCAGATTCCTTTTGGGTTGAGAATCAGAGTGTGCCTCCAATTCCTCCTTTTTTTTCTCTTTCCAAGGATGAATGAAGAATTATATTATTTTAACGGACAAAAAATATGTGAATTTTGCAAGTTTTTTTTTTTTTTCACGAAGCCCTTAGTAGTGAAAGTTTTAATCGTAAACAAAGTAAAGTGACATCTCATTTTCTTCAGATTACAAGCCAAGATAAAGATTGCACTCTTTTGAAATAAAATTTTTTTTTTTTCTTTTTTTCACCTCTAGGTTAAGGAGCAGTGGCAACCTGTAATCTTGGGCAGTTATACTCATGTTTCCCTTTCCATCCACTGTCTTTAGCATTAAAATATTTTAGAAGCTACAATAACTTTTCAATTCTGCCATGTATAAATCATACTATCTTGATCCTTAAAGAACCTTAAAGAAACATGGATGCGTGCGATCTTCGAATGTAACGGGTATAAAATGTCCTGTAATTGACTTTGACATCTGCAGTGCTTTTGTTCTATAACCAATAAACTCCAGCTGAACGCTTAGAGGCTATTGTCGTATCAAAACTCCAAATCTGTCATGTCTGCTCTGGTTGTTGACATTTCTTTCTTGTCAGTTAATAACTGGGTGAAATGAGCAAACACTCACAGAATGACATATTTGCAGATTTGTTACTGAATAAGGTTAACCTGAAAAGCCTATTACCACAAAAATAACTAATAATACAGATGGCTGTTGCTGACATGTTATTATCTTGAACAGTGCTTTAAGGGCAAAGAAGTATTTGTCCTATATTGTGAGCGATTTTTGTAAACTCATGAGTAGAGTGTCAGCAAAACAAAGGAAATACAAAATTCCAAGATAAAAATCTCATGTATATGGCATATTTGATAATTTAATAATGTTCAGTGGATAAAGGATAATGTTCAGTGAACAGAGATTGCTATAAGCATTCACAATGGCACCATTTTAATTCAATTTACTACTTAGCAGAATGGACCCATATTCCAATGCAGACTTGTCTTGCTACATTTATTTATTGTAGCTACTAAACTGGTTCATAGATTGCAGGATAAAACTTACAAGGAAAGGTTAACATGTATAGCTTGGAGGAAAGACGAGACAGGGGGGATATTATAGAAACATTTAAATACATAAAGGGAATCAACACAGTAAAGGAAAAGACTATATTTAAAAGAAGAGGCAAAAAAACAGAAGCGCAGTACAGATTAAGGGGAAATCCAAAGGCAGGGTCAGATGAGAAGCAGAAGTCAGGGCTGGCAGCGGAGTAACGTAGTCAGTAAAGCAGGCAAAGGTCAGAGTCCAGGAAATCAATCAGTAGCGAAGCAAAGATCCGGCAGGAAACCCCATACAGGCAAAATGACCAGATACTAGGTTTCAGGTAGGGCTGGCTCTTACAGCCTGCTAAGTATATGTAGCTGACCCTAATTGGAAAAGGGCTGCAGGTGGGTCAGCACTGCTTAATCCAGGCAAGGGGTCATGAAGCAGAAAAATACAGATGGATACTGAAGCCCCCTGGTGAACAGCATGGCAGAGAACCTGACTGGGATGCTGGAAATGTGAGTTCAAACTCAGCCAGGTTTCTTAAAGGGGTGGCCACACCTTGCTGTCTGCAGGGCTCGGGCTGTGCCATGACAGAGCCCCCTCACAAGGAGCGACCTCCTAGGGGGAATAGACAGGGCTTCAACTACAGGATCCAGTTCAGGCTCAGACAGGGAATCCAAGTCTGTATAGGCATCCGAATCAGAGATTGTTGGAACATTTTGCAGGTTGTGATCCTTCAAGAAGGCAGTGGAGGCAAGAAGGTGAGAAGGGGATGCAGCTCTTGCCTTAAGAGCCTGTTCAAAGGCATTTAGGTCTTCTCTGCGGACCACAGTTCCATTGGAGGCAATTACACATTCTGGAGACATATCCTCTCTATTGGAGCAGGAAATGTTAGGGGAGACAGAGGCTGGGGATTGGAAGGTAGCCACCGCAGCCTATTTGAGGCTCTGGAACAGCAGCAGGGTTAGCCAGGGCTGTGATGGTGCCATTGGTCTGGTTAGGTGTTCTTTTCGGTCCAGTAGCATGCAGAGTTGAACAAAAAAGGGGCAATGGAGGACTTGCTGGATGATGATACAGAGCCCCCACATGGCTATGTTTAGGGCGAGGAGGATGTATCGGGCAATAGCTGATGCCACAATAGAAGCAAAGGCCTTTGGCTTTCCTTCTGGCTTTTTCAGTTACTGTGAGCATGGTATTTAGTGCTCCAATCTGCATGGGTTCGTCTATGTCCATGGTGGGGATAGGTGTATAGGTCTCACCAGCAGGTTGGGAGCGTTGATTGGGCAGAGCATTTGTTTCAAATCGCTCCTGCCTTCTTTCTCTGAACCGGAGATCCAGCTGGGTGGCTAGCACCATTAATTTTTCCAGGAAGGTTGGAACTCCCACTTGTGCCAGTTCATCCTTAAGGGTTTCACTTAATCCAAGGCAGAATTGGTCCACTAGGGTGGTTTCATTGAGCCCAGTGTCTGATGACAAGCCACAGTACTCTGTGATGTAATTTTCCACTTCACGGTTTCCTTGTTTAAGGGAATGGAGAGAAGTCCTGGCTGTGGAGGAATGGAAGGGGTCCTCATACAAGGAGGTCAAGGCTGTAGAAAAGGATTCCCAGGTGTCCAGTACAGGGCTTTTGGCATACAGCTGTTGATGAGCTCAGGCAATGCAATATCAGGTTCAGTGAGTGAGTGTGAGTGTGGGTGTGTGGGTGTCAGTGAGTATGTGTGTGTTTGTCTATGTGTCTGTCAGTGAGTGTATCTGTGTCTTTCAGTGAGTGTGTCTGTGTGTCTGTCAGTGTGTGTGTATGTCAGTGTGTGTATGTCAGGGAGTGTGTGTCTGTCAGTGTGCGTGTTTGTGTCTGTCAATGTGTGTGTGTGTGCCAGTGTGTGTGAGTATGTGTGTGTTTGTCTGTGTGTCTGTCAGAGAGTGTGTCTGTGTGTCTGTCAGTGTGTGTGTATGTCAGGGAGTGTGTGTCTGTCAATGTGTGTGTCAGTGTGTGTGTCAGTGAGTGTCTGTGTCAGTGAGTGTATGTGTGTCTGTCAGTGAGTGTGTCTGTCAGTGTGTATGTGTGTGTGTTGGTCAGTGTTGTGATGGCCACGACTGGACATTGGAGTACCTGGAGGTGCATGGAGGCACGCAACGCCACGTCACATTCCGACGTGACATCGACGTGATCCACCTTCACAGGGTTTCAGGAATTAGCGGGAGGATCTCCTTTGGCACAGGGT